ATGCCAAACCAGTCAAACAACAACAAAGACGGTTTCGTCCGCAAATGATGGAGGCGATCGAATCCGAGGTCAAGAAGCTTATTGACTCGGGCTTCGTTCGAGAGGAGCAACATCCAGAATGGCTAGCCAATATTGTCCCAGTCCTTAAGAAGAACGGGAAAGTCAGGATTTGTATCGACTTTCGGGATCTCAACACTGCTTGCCCAAAAGATGATTTTCCCCTCCCCATCACGGATGTCATCATCGACAATACGTGTGGGTTCGAGAGGATGTCTTTCATGGATGGTTTCTCTGGTTATAACCAGATAAAGATGCATCCGGATGATGAAAAGCACACCGCATTCAGAACGCCCCTCGGTGTCTTCTGTTACACAGTTATGCCCTTCGGCTTAAAGAACGCAGGTGCTACATATCAACGAGCTATGTCAAAGATCTTTCAGGATCATCTCCGAAAGACTGTTGAATGCTACGTAGATGATTTGGTCGTGAAAAGTCGTGATAAAAAAGATCACATTAAGGACTTGAAGACCATGTTCGACTTGATGCGAGCTCATCAATTGAAGATGAATCCTACCAAGTCTTTCCTCGGAATGTCCAGTGGTAAATTCCTGGGATTTGTCGTCACTACCAAAGGTATTCACATCGACCCTGATAAGGTAAAGGCAATTAATGAATTGCAACCTCCGAGAAACCTCAATGAGCTCAGAGGATTGCAAGGGCGGTTAGCTTATATCCGCCGGTTCATCTCGAACCTCTCAGGAAAATGCCAACCATTCTCCAAGCTCGCAAAGAAGGGCGTATCATTTGTATGGGATGAAGCTTGTCAAAAGGCATTCGAGAGTATCAAAGAATATCTCTCGAAACCTCCCGTACTCGTTGCACCGAAATCGGGCAAACCGTTCTTGATTTATGTCAAGGCGACGAGCCACTCATTAAGTGCATTACTCGCACAAGATGACGATAACGGTCACGAGCAGGCAGTGTATTATTTAAGCCGAACCATGGTGGGCGCTGAATCTCGATATCCCATGATCGAGAGAGAGTGCCTCGCCTTGGTGTTCATCTCTAAAGTTAATCCGGTCCGAGTGTTCATGACTCAACCAGCTTCCATGAATTGGCGTTTAGCAAAATGGGCCTTACTCTTATCCCAATATGACTTACATTTTAAACAACAGAAGTCAGTAAAAGGACAGGCCATCTGTGATCTCCTGGCAGCTAATCCAACTACGGACACCGCTGAGATATATGACGATCTACCCGATGAAACCCACGAAGTAAACGCAACTTCGCACTAGCAAGTATGGCGTTTGTACTTCGACGGGGCTTCACGAGCAACTAATGTAGCAAGTGCTCTTCGAAGTTCTAAGATTTCTTCCGGAGTTGGAGTTGTCTTAGTTTCCCCAGGAAAGCACGTGATGCCTCGAGCTTACTCGTTGACGGAACCGTGCTCAAATAATGTAGCCGAATATAATGCATTACTCATAGGACTCAGTTTCGCCAAAGAACCGGGGGTTGAGTATCTCGAAGCCTTCGGTGATTCTCAACTGATAGTTAAACAAGTTCAGGGAGAGTACGAGGTCTGAAGCCAAGATTTAATACCATACCATAAGATGGCAGTGGAGATGGCAGAATCATTCGAAGGATTCTTTATCGAACATATTCCACGACTACAGAATACTTACGCAGACGCGTTAGCAGCATTAGCCGTATCACTGGCGCAGCCTCCTGAAACAGAACAGTTTGTTACAGTGAGGACTCACCAACTCCTAGTGCCGATCTACAATGAAGATAGCGAAGAAGAAGATAGCAAGGAAGCACATTCAACTCAAATTGAGTTTGAACCTCGAGATTGGCGTTTCCCCATCATCGACTATGTCTTGCATGGAATCCTACCAGAAGATATAAAGGAAAGAGAGTCAATCCGACGAAGGGCACCAAGATTCTACTATAATACGGAGAATCGAACGCTATACCGCAGGGGGTACGATGGATTGCTAGCACGCTGCTTATTGACTAAAGAAGCTGAGGAAGTCCTTGGAGAAGCACATGAAGGAGAGTGTGGTGCACACCAACCTGGTCCCAAACTTTATGATCGCATCAGAAGAATGGGATATTTTTGGCCCTCCATGATGAGTGATGCAATCGTGTATGCCCGAAAGTGTGATGCATGTCAAATACATGCGAATTATATGCACCAACCTCCAGAGCATCTGCATCCTTCGGTTACGTCATGGCCGTTTGAGACCTGGGGAATGGATATTGTTGGTCCTATAAATCCCCCGTCAGTCAAAGGTGACCGGTTCATCCTAGCGATTACCGACTACTTCTCCAAATGGGCTGAGGCAGTTCCACTCAGAGAAGTTAAAACGAGTAATGTTATTACATTCATCAAGCACCATATCATCTACCGGCATGGTGTACCAAGACGAATTGTACATGACAACGGTCCTCAATTCGTCAGCAACGCCTTCATCAGGTTTTGCGAAAAGTTTAGAATTCAGGACATCTCTTCGACAGCTTACAATCCCACAGAATTCCGTCTCTTTGGATCGCTCTTTCAACCCAGATGACGACCGAAGAACAACATCAGAAACGCCTCGAAGAACTCGAGAGGCTCGATGAAAAGCGCCTGGAAGCTCAACAGCATATTGAGTTTTACCAAGCCAGAATTTCTCGAGCCTTCGACAAAAAGGTTCGACAAAGGAGTTTCAAAGAAGGGGATTTGGTTCTAGCTGAGAGGCGGCCTATGATCCTTAACTCCAACAAGAAGGGAAAATTTGAACCCAAATGGGAGGGACCATTCGTAGTAGAGACAGTCTACTCGAGTGGCGCATATCGCCTAGTCACCAAGGACGGCGACCGGCTTATGATGCCGATAAACGGCAAGTTCCTAAAAAAATACTATCCCTAGCATCTTCAGGATAACTAATGTATCGGGAAGTTCCCGGAAGAATACCACATGGGGTATTCTCAGGGATAACCCAGTCACTGTAGAAGTGATGAATAAGAAATCCACGTTCGAACTCTGAATGTCGGAATGTTTCTTCTTACTGTCAAATTCTCTAACTCTTATGAGTTATTTTTGTGAGATGAGATTCAATCCTCTGATAGGTTAATCTTTCCTCACCAAACCATCTGCTGATTAAATTAATCGACGGTGGATTCACCAAAATTTCTATCTGCCAGTCATTGGCATTTCTCAGACTCAATATGTTAGGTCCTAATCACCTAGCATTAAAGTCCTCCTTTAAGTGATAATACGAGTTGGCACTTTCTTTGCTACCTGTATTCCACTTTCCTTGCTTTCAGGTCAGACCTATAAAAGTTAGGGCCAAAGCCAAATTCCTCTCTCGAGTCCTTCCATGAATGAGAGGTCCACTTTCAATTTGAACAATCAAACCTATAAAAGTTAGGATTGTTCCCAATCTCGCTTAGTCAAGCCCACAAGTAGTTAAGACTAAGACCGAGTCATTCCTTTTCGATAAACGAAAATCCGCCTTTGTTCCTTTTTTCCACCAAACCTATAAAAGTTATGGTCGAAATTGGGCTTTCTCCTCAATGAATGAGGGATTCTTTTGATTCAAATGACCAATCCTATAAAAGTTAGGGCCGTTTGAACTTTTCCGATTCTCGGAGTGGAGATCCCACTCTTAGTTTCATCTTTTCGGATTCTGGGGGTGGAGATCCCACCTTGAGTTTCCTTTCCGACTGCAGATAGAATATAAAATTCTTCCTCTTTAGTCCCGGGGGATAGAATATAAAATTCTTCCTCTCCCGTTTCCCAATCCGTCTTTATTCTGATAAAGGACACAATTTTTAATTTCCAATCCGGGCACTTTGTGCACGGGGAATTTTATCTCAACTCCTAAATAGAGATAAGTTTACGCCTAACACGCGTTGCCGGTTTAGTCTTTCACCGATTGAAAAAGACACCAAGATCCAAACTTGGGGAATTTTATCCCGAAGCCTAAGTAGGGACGAGTCAACACCTAACACGTGTTGTCGGATAGCCTGTTCCCGTAACAAAGGCGAAGCCTATGTATTCGGCATCATAGCACAAAGTCTCAGAGAATTCACTCTCTCAGCACAACGTTACATGCGGAGCAGATTTAGACAATCCGCATGCTAGTCCGATTCAAACGGTAATCGGTAAAGACATATCAAACCCGTTGAGGGCTGAGGGTTTGCAAAAAATCCTATAAATTTTATCATTGCTGGGTTCAAAGTAAATAAAGAAATATCATGAAAGAAGCAAATGCGGAGTCTCTAGTAAGAGATCAAGTCAAAAGCATAAAATAAAAAGCTCGTTAGCCCGAAGGCAACTGACGGCTAAGAATATGGGACTCTAAACTAGAAAGCCTGTCTACATAGCTCTGCTCAAGTTCTGCCTGCAGACTAGCTCGGACAGAGTCTTCGGAACTGCTTAAGATCTTCGCGGCTTCATTCTTCAGCTTCATCAATCTCTCCTGTGTAGATCCCAGCTTCTCGAGCGTCTGTTCACGAGAACGCTCTAATCCAGCCAGGTCTTCTGCAATAAGAGTAACGGACTCCTCGGCGTGCCTCAAGGCCTCCTTCAATCTAGCCACTTCCTCACGGCCGGAATCCAAAGAGCTGAGTAACTCGGCTCTACCTGTATCCTTCCTCGCCACGGTAGCCATCAGCTGCGCAACAGAATGCTCATGTGATCGAAGCTCGCTGCCGATGGAAGATCTCAGGTCGTGCCACTGTGTCAGCCTATGCTCCATCTGAGAGGACACGAAGGAGGAAGCTCCACCAGCCTTCAACTCCTTCAACTCTCGGATCTCTGACTCCAGAACAGTGAAATCGGCAAGAAAGGAATCGGCCAACTCTGGATATCCTTCTTCCCTCATCATCATCATGTGGCGAGAAAAGGAACGCCTGAACTGATCAAAACAGTATCCTCTGTGAAGAAGTTTCTCAATCATGCCGTTATAAAAGGCGGTAAAAAAGCCGAGGTCCGTACGAAAAATGTCTCTGTCTCGGTATAAGCCAAGAGGGCGCGGACACGCTCATATAGAGATGATCGAGATCCTACAAGAAACAGTGTGGAAAGCTAAGAGATTATCGAATACGATAAGAAAATTTAAAGGCAAATTCCGAGCATACCAAGGCCAACGGAGGTCCCCTCAGGCTAAAATCTGACAGGTTCCGAAATAACTGCAGGAGTAGTCATGGAGGGTATATCAACCCCTGTAGGCAAATCGGTCATACCTCTCGGCTGTGGCGGAGAGACACCGCTCTCAGGCAAACTATCAGTCCCAGAAACTGTAGTGGCATCAGGCACAACGGCTGGTCCTATAGTTACACTTCTTTATTAGTCAAAATGAAAATTTAGATAAATAAGGAAAATCGGGATGACGAGATCGTATGCATACCTGTAAGTCCATCGTCCTCAGATGCAAGAGGGATACCAGGAGTCATAAAGGTATCAGTCCCAGTGGCTGGTCCTATGATTACACCCATATATTAGTCAAAAATCAGATAAATAAAGAGGAGTACGATGTCCCTAAATCGTATGCGTACCTGCAAGTCCGTCACTCCGAGGTAAGCTAGATATGCCGGGAATCGATATTGGGTTAATCCCAATGACTGGCGCTGTAATATTAATCCTTCGTTAGTCAGACAAAAGATCAGGCAAGATGAAGGGAATCAGATATATACCTGTGAATGAATCACTCTCAAAGGGTGGTCCCACGGTTCTTCTGGTGGCCTGCTCAGCCAACATATCGGCTAATAATCCAGCGTCGGGTCCCGAGGAACCTGGTACAGAGGCACACCTCTGTTCCTCGAAGCCCACATCATGAAAGATCTGATCCTCAGCTGGCTTTTCCATCGCGACATCTGCAGGACAACCTAAATGTTGGAAGTTAAGGAAGAAGGGAAAGCCCAGAAATACCTGCAGCAAGAACAGAAGATTCTCTTTCCCCATGTTTGAGGAGAGTATCATCGGATGTAGATATACCTGAATATGGAACGGTGGGCTCAACACTATTCACCTGTCCAAGATCAATGTTTAGATCGATACCCAGAGAACCGTCACGAAGGGCATCGCACATCTGCTCCATGAAGCTATCCATATTATCAGAACCAGTGAATACGGGAGACAATGGGAGTTCGCCCTCTTCAAAGAACCCTGGAACATAAAACATGATTACGAATCCCAGAAGGTAAGTCATCTTAAAGCAATGAAAACGACGAAGTATTACCTTCCTCCCTGTCGGCGAAGTCTCCTAAATCCACTTCATAGGAGTGCTGACCAACGTGTGGTTTATGAGCGATCTTTTTCTTTTTCGGAATATCACCCCTCATAGAACCAACGGGTCGTTCGTGCGTGGACTGGCCACGTGTATCAACCTGGGTAGGAGCTTGGCCACCAGGCCTGAATCTCGCACGACGGGAAGCGAGCGACTCATGGTCGTCGGCTGTCCTACCTGAAATGATAAGGATTATTTCATTAAATGAACCAGATCTTTCGTTGATATCAATTGAAGTTGAGAAAGAGGATCAAAGAGGATGACAAACCTGCATCAAGTTCTTCTTGGTCGATATCTATATCCACATACGCCTCCTCAGAAGTCTCGTCATCATCGTCAGTAGGAAGGAGCTCTTCATCGTCTTTGCTTGAGAGAGGAGGTTTGGCAGACTTCTTCTTCTGTTTCTGAGCAAGCTCGGCTTTACGAGCAGCCATCATAGCGACCTGGACCGAGTGCTCAGACTCTAACTCTGAAAGACTCCTCACACCTATGGATTCATTGGCGGAGAGGAACCACTTACAACTGAGGAAAGTAATCATCGGCTTGCGCCTATATGAAGGAAGAGCAAAGTGGGCTCCGGTGCAGCCCACCATAGTCCATAGCCATGCCCGTACGCCATCAATAAGCCCCCCCTCAACCTTCAAACCACGGCTCGGATTCCTAACATATAGTTGGTCGTAACCGAACTGATGAGCAAAACGGTAGGGAAGGTAAGGCTCTATGTGGCAATGATTCTTCACCCGGAGAACGAGATACCCAACACGGATGTTCACTAACCAGCGGAAACAACCAACGTCGAGAGCAGTCCGATTAGTTCTGGGTTTCTCCTCATCAGTCAGCACATCACCATAGCGACCCGAAAAGTGGGGAAAACACTTGAAGAACTCCCAGCTCTTGCGAACTTGAAGCTCTCGTTGTGCATCGCCGAATTTCTTCCCGAGCCATCTGATCCTCTCCAACAGCTACACGAAAGGAACGGGGACATCAACAACGCTGGGCGCCGACATCAAGTCAGGATGGTGAAGAACGAGCCATGCCATCAGATACGCATAAGGAAGCTCGACCTTCAGACAAGTAAGCTCGGTCGATGGTTTAGAACCCACCCGTGTAAAACCACTGACCAGATACCTAAGCCCGCAATGGATGTCGGCAACCATCGCTGGGAGCAGTGAAAGCTCCCTCTCATAAGCTAGCTGAACTGCGGGGAAGAGCACCTCGAGAGGTAAGGCGTCTAAAGACCGGTACGGAACAACACACTTCTTCAACCAGAGGGCAAGGTAGCCTGCTAGCAGAGTCCGGGGCTCGATGGACTTCTGTGCACGGCGGAGGAACGAACGAAACTTGGTTCCTGCAGGAAAAGCTCCCTCAGCACGGGCAATGGTGTAAGAATGAGCCTCAGCCTTCTCCATCAACTCATTAATGGCGGTAGGGGTCAGGACATCTAACTCACGAAGGGGCTCGTCGGAGTCACCCTCCAAATTAGGGAACAGATAGACAGCAAACTGCTTCAAGCTGATTTTCCTTTTCTTCTTCGCTGGAGGAGAAATCTTGATCAAGGAGGTATAATAATGACAAGTGATGTCCCAAAGAGTATCATGCATGTCGGGAGTATCCTTCTTCAACCACCCCAACTGCTGGTTCGAGGGAAAGTACTCCTGATATGGACAATCCCCCATTGGAAGACCAGAAACCTGATACATCTCATGTAAGGCCAACCCTAACTCTCCGCCGCTGGTCATGAACGTGTTACTGTCGGGCATGTATGTCTCCAACAACGCCAAGAAATGGCGGCAGCTGACCGGAAGTCCGTACATGGTGGCCCGTATAGGTGCATACAATCCTCTGCTCTTCAAATCCTTCTCCCAGCCCCCCAAGACGTAACTGGTCATGCGTGTCCACCATCCCTTGGCTTGTGAGAAAGCCCAACCATAGCATCTGTAATCTGGTGGAGGTAACCTTCTCCCAAGATGAGCCAGACGATTCTTCACAGTAGGAGCAGCTGCTGATACCTCGCCCGGGGGTGCAGTGTCAAGACCCATAATCTCTGGTCAAAGACTGCGGATATCATGATACCCAGTAGAACCAGGAATCTTATGATGAGAGGTATATCCACACTGAACTCGCTCAGCATCATAGGTAAGAGGCCAAGACATATGTCGCTCCACGGCCTGTCCCTCCAAATGGGTGAAAGAATATTGACGAGGAATGGAGGGAATATACAGGAGAGCTCCTTCGTCGAGAGTCAGCCAATGCTCCTTGATAAGAGTCAATGTAGCAGGATCCTCAATGTGATCTCCGAACAGAAAACCGGGCTTCTTTAAAGCCTGAGTGGAAGTGGAATCCGCAGTGAAGGAAGCATCCGTAATAAGCTGGCGTAAGCAATGACGCCCTTCATCCCGTATCAAACGACAGGATTCATCAGAACGATCTCGGTCAAACTGAGGGAGTGGACTAACGGCCTACCTGATGGAAGCTGAAGAGAAGACCTCCCGGCTACAACCAGTATTAGCATGAGGAGGAAGGCTGCCCGCGGGGAACTCGACTGCAACAAAACACAAGGATAGAGTCAGAAAGCTCATAAAAAAGCGAGATAAGATCAGTCACGGGATAATTGGAGAGACGATTTTGAGTGTCCTACACTGGAAGAACGGTATGCATCATCACGTAAATAACGTGGTAACATACACCGACCTATAAGGTGTAGGACGACACAAAATCGCCCCAATATACCAGAAGACTTGAATTAGCCAAGCAAGGCAAGTCCGAAACCTCGACCCCCGCGAAGGAGGGTGTCGGCCCTTCCCGAATGACCCGCGAAGGGGCCAAACGAGGGTATGACAAAACCACCAAGTCCGAAACCTCGACCCCCGCGAAGGAGGGTGTCGGCCCTTCCCGAATGACCCGCGAAGGGGCCAAACGAGGGTATAACAGAACCACCAAGTCCGAAACCTCGACCCCCGCGAAGGAGGGTGTCGGTTCTTCCTTCATGACCCGCGAGGGGATCAATCGGGGATACAAAAATAAATAAATAAAATTCCCACCCCCGAAAAAGGAAGCCGCTGGAGGGAAGGATGCTGTAGGAACTTCTTCCTCGCTAGGCTGCGAACGAGAGCGACTCCTAGGAGGTCGAGGTCGATGTGGAGACTGTTCGCGGGAAAAATCGTTGCTTTCTTCATTAATGATTCCATTGTACACTCTTGTAATAGTTTATCGATTACAAAGATCCGGTCTTTTTATAAGATCCGGTTACAACTAAATCAAATTGAAAAGAAATGAAATCGGCGTGGAGACATTGAAAATCTGCAACGAAAAGCAGCAAGTCAGGCACAATCTAAAATATGAATACGCGAAATTTAAAAGGGAAATTAAGAACTTTAATTAAAATCCTATGTATAAATAGGATTTTATAGTTGAAGTCTAGTTAAACCTACAAATTTCGTGCATGCGAAACAATGATTGTCATTTTCGCAGTTAATTTTGATGAAATACCCAAAATACCCTTCGTGTTCAAGGCTAAATTCGGGTCAAGGACACGCTCGAGTTGGGTCATGGTCATCATACCTGATCACATAGCACCCCCAGTACCCCACAATTTTGGTTAATCTCGCAAATAAACCCTTTTGTAAAATTTAGCCAATTTTGCAAAAAAGACCCTCCACAAATTTCGGTTTGGTTTTCGCATGCTTTTATCAAAACTTTGGTCATAGGTTTATGATCTAAACTTTTGGAATTTCAGCCCTAAAATTCCAGCCCTTTTACAATAAACCCCCTATACTTTATGGGTTGCTCTTTTGCAAATAAACCCCTCAAACCACATTGAACCTTTCACACGCAAACGCCTCTCAATTTTCGGCCAAAGGAGGGTAAAATTTCAGCCCTCAAATTTCAGTCCTCTTTTGCACATAACCCCTTCAAAGTTCAGCCCTCTTTTGCATATAATCCCCCTTAAATTTTGGCCCAAATTTGCACAAAAAACCCTTCGAATTTTAGTCCCATATTGACATTTTCAACCCCTCAAATTTCAGCCCTCTTTTGCACATAACCCCTTCAAAGTTCAGTCCCTCTTTTGCACATAACCCCTTCAAAGTTCAGCCCTCTTTTGCATATAACCCCCTCAAAGTTCAATCCCAAATTTGCACATACACCCCTGAAAATTTCAGCCTCAAATTTGCACAAAAACCCCCCAAATTCGGTCAATTTCTCAAATTCCATACCCAAATTCGGTTTTTCTTCCAAGATTAAAGAGCTAGAGTTGAAATTATCAAGCCATGAACACAATCAATCAAGAAAATTCGGCCAACAATCAAACCCAATGCAAATTTCGGATTTCCCCTAAATTTGAAGAACTAGGGTTTTCAATCATTGAACCAAAGCATGAGGAACTAACTAAAATCAAAGCAAGGGACTTACCCAAGTTCTGAAGCTTGAAGAAGAAGAAAATCCCAAACCCTAGCTTGTGAGGAGATGAAGATTTCGGGTTCCTTTTCGAGGCTTTATCTTATCAAAGCTGATGGGTTTTAAGGAGGAAGACTTGGATCTTGTTTGGAGTCCTTGGTGTGGGGAAGTTCTTAGAGGTTTAGAACTCTTGGAGAAGGAGCAGCAGCCGAATTTTTGAAGAGGGGGGCGGAACTTTAGAAACCGGAAACAGAAAGAAAAGAGAGAAAAAGAAGGATCGGTCTTTGAGGGGAATTTTAAGAGCTTGAACCGGTTTGAACCGGAATGGTCTGAACCGGACGGGTCTAAACCGAACTTTAATTCAATTAAAACCAACTCAAATCAATTTGAACCGGACCAATCCTAGCTTGTTGATTCGCATGTGTGTGAACCGCGAAATGTGGGTTCGCGCGTGTGGAAGGGTCCGGGGGTGATTCATATGCGTTTCGAACCTCTTTTCGGATATGTTTCGATATATTCGAGGCCCATATTTATACTCCAACGAGAATACGAGTCTAAACTATTTCTCACAATGGACGGGAAGTTCCTGGAGAATATTATGTATAATATTCTTAAGGATAACCCGTCAACCTCCGACGGGTACACGAGGCTAAACTAATTCCCGAAACTCCCAGGAGTACACGAGTATAAACTGGTCCTCAGGTTAATTCGAAACCCTAGGGTCAACGCCGGTCAACGCGTAACCCTAGGTCAACGCCAGTCAACGCGTTGCGACAAAAAGTCAATATTCGAGGTTCGAAACCCTAGGGTCAACGCCGGTCAACGGGTAACCCTAGGTCAACGCCAGTCAACGCGTTGCGACAAAAAGTCAATATTTGACGTTCGAAACCCTAAGGTCAACGCCGGTCAAC